CCCCAAAACCCCAAAACCCCAAAACCCCTAGTAGATAAAAATTTGAATTAGCTTGATAATAATTAACTTTAATGAACTCAGAAACTCAGATTAAACCATTTATGGGCCATAAAGATATTTGGAGTGATGACTTGGTGTCTTGTGAAGATACAGATGAATGTTCATCCCAGGTTCCTAAAATGACATACCAATTCTCGAATACTTTGAAAGACAATAAGGGGAAATCTAATAAAGAAGACTTCTGATGACTCCCAATGACTCCAAAGGACGGAGATAATGGTGAAGCTCAGGAAAGCAACTCAGAGCAAGCTGCTTTTCGCGAAGATCTTTCTCTTTCTAAACCCTGAAGTTTACGTTGTAAGAAGCCTAAAGCAAAGACTTTCACCTTAAATTCTCAGAAGAGATATTTGAGTATAAAGGAGGTAAAATTACTGAGGAAAGTGTCATCAAGTGAGATCCTCCAGGTTTTGCTGAACTAAACTCTAACTTATCATCTTCCAATGACTTAAGGATCCCTAATTAATATTTCTGTATAATTATGATTTAACACACAGCCAAGTTTTCTTCGCGTTGGGATACAATTTTTCTTAGAAATAGTAGCTTTGATATTCTTGCTAGCAGGCCTGCCATGCTAATATAGCATTGCCTAATAATAATGAAAGGATCTTTTTCGGAGGTTATTAAAAATTAATATCAGCAAGGAGCCATATAACTAGTTTCGATAAAGAAGCAACTTGAAGACCATCCTAAATTGATATGGAGTACTTAGCTTATACTTAATAACTATGAGAGTCATACTAGCATTAAAATAAGAGTTTTTCATTTCCATAAGTTTTGGGTGTTAAAATTTTTTATAGTTTTTCCGCTAAATCAGCAGATTTTTCTAATCTGCCATGAGAGAATACTTCTTAGTATTATAAACTTATAATAGGGGCATTTCTATCCAATTAGGGGCCTTCTTCATTTTCAGTTCACCAAATTATTATTTGAGAAAACCTAATGAAAGTTTCTTCAGAAGAAATGAAAATGCTCGTAAGATAGTCTATAATAAGGTTTTATATAACTCCTAACGTGTGGATATTCCTCTAGTTCCCATTTGAGTTCTTTAGCAGATTTGTTATCTGCGCATCCTAGCATACGACCTCCATGCTCCAATAATTATATGAATTCCTCATAAATTTTTAATTTCTGAGAAATAATGCTAGGTTAAGACTTTTAAGCAATATTATTTCCATTCAATGAAACATCAAACTTTTAGGTTATAGTGCTTGCAAAGCTCATCATGTTTATTGAAAATTATTTGATATTTATCAAAATTACACAAAGTGGGAATTGAAAAATTCTGAATATTTTCCATGTTTCTAAACATTCGATTCGGGTTTTGATGCATTATCTAGGTCCTATGCCAACCACTTCGATGGATCTCTAAGGAAGAAAAGAGTTTGTATACTAGTAAAACTTTAGATAATTTATCACAAGTCTCAAATGAAAGCAGTATAATCTGTGAAACACCATCAAAAGAAAATTTCCGGTTTTGAAAATATTAATATCTGTGAAAGGTTCAGATATAACCTCTGGAAGGTCTCAACAAAACCGGCTCTTTCTTTTACATTAAAAGATCTCTATTACAGAGGAAGGGCAATCGCTTAGTATACTTCTTAGATACACATGAGAGGGAGCTCAGCTATTCTTATAGACAGTTTCGTTTATTTAACATAATTTATATAGAAGTTTTTAGGTAAACCTCCTTGTTGGCTAATAATTTTGACACATTCTACAAGCCTCCAGGTGGTTAGCACTACGCTGTTAGTCAAGACCCAAATAGATAAAGCACTGTGGTTGGGTAAAATAATCTCCAGCGCTTTTTCTTAATCTTTATCAATAGAAATCATCTAGCATAATTTGGAGCATATGATGTTGCCAAAAGTATTGACTTGTTCACATTTCAGGAAACAGGAAGGAGGCAAACCTACTTGGTTAGGGGTTATTATATCAGAATGAATTATGAATTACATAATTAAACTATACACTCACCGCTAAGCTTCATCAAATTTTACCTATTTCTAGGACGGCCATGCCAATGACCGTATCAAGTAAATGAATTGTAAGAATTCAGTGTATCTTCCTCAGTTCGAAACATGAAACTTTCAAATTTATTCTGAAGGGGAAGGAAGAAGATCTTGATACAGTTTAAAGCAGGTGTTAATCTCCAAGCTGAGCATGCTCCATTTTAATCAAAGCTAATCTATAGATGTGTCTTAATGAACACTCTCTGTAAAAATGATGAGCATCATTTTTACTGAATTGCATCGAACATTCACTAAATTATCGGAAATTTTATGAAGTTTATACTATAAAGCTCTCCTAAGTTATATAATAGACAGGCTTAGCTCTATATCCATGGCCTTATAGAACCATTTGCTGAATAATCCCCTCAAGACCTATTTCTTGGAAAAATTCCTATATGCAGAGCAGATTTCAACCCAATTGAGTTTATTCATCAAGATATTTACTCAGGTTTTATAAAAATGTAACTGTAGAGTATAATATTCACAAATAATATTTCTATGTCAGATCTCTACTGTGGGGTTTTGGGGTTTTGGGGTTTTGGGG